TCATTCACCTAGCCTGAGCCAGGCTACGAGAGCATCATTCACCTAGCCTGAGCCAGGCTACGAGAGCATCATTCACCTAGCCTGAGCCAGGCTACTAGAGCATCATTCACCTAGCCTGAGCCAGGCTACGAGAGCATCATTCACCTAGCCTGAGCCAGGCTACGAGAGCATCATTCACCTAGCCTGAGCCAGGCTACCAGAGCATCATTCACCTAGCCTGAGCCAGGCTACTAGAGCATCAATTCACCAGCCTGAGCCAGGCTACTAGAGCATCATTCACCTAGCCTGAGCCAGGCTACAGAGCATCATTCACCTAGCCTGACCAGGCTACTAGAGCATCATTCACCTAGCCTGAGCCAGGCTACCAGAGCATCATTCACCTAGCCTGACCCAGGCTACGAGAGCATCATTCACCAGCCTGACCCAGGCTACGAGATCATCATTCACCTAGCCTGAGCCAGGATACAGAGCATCATTCACCTAGCCTGACCCAGGCTACGAGAGCATCATTCACCTAGCCTGAGCCAGGCTACTAGAGCATCATTCACCAAGCCTGACCCAGGCTACGAGAGCATCATTCACCAGCCTGACCCAGGCTACGAGAGCATCATTCACCTAGCCTGAGCCAGGCTACGAGAGCATCATTCACCAGCCTGACCAGCTACTAGAGCATCATTCACCTAGCCTGAGCCAGGCCCCATTCCCGAGTGGAGACATCATTCACCTAGCCTGACCCAGGCTACGAGAGCATCATTCACCAGCCTGAGCCAGGCTACGAGAGCATCATTCACCTAGCCTGAGCCAGGCTACGAGAGCATCATTCACCTAGCCTGAGCCAGGCTACGAGAGCATCATTCACCTAGCCTGAGCCAGGCTACAGAGCATCATTCACCTAGCCTGACCAGGCTACGAGAGCATCATTCACCAGCCTGACCAGGCTACTGAGAGCATCATTCAGCCAGCCTGAGCCAGGCTACTAGAGCATCATTCACCTAGCCTGAGCCAGAGCTACTAGAGCATCATTCACCTAGCCTGAGCCAGGCTACGAGACATCATTCACCTAGCCTGAGCCAGGCTACTGAGAGCATCATTCACCTAGCCTGACCCAGGCTACGACGAGAGCATTTAGCAGCTGTACCAGTAGTAAGCATCAGTTCAACATGTAGCCTATAGCCAGCTACGAAGATCATTGGCCAGCCTGACCCAGGCTTACTGAGCATCATTCACCTAGCCTGAGCCAGGGTCTACGAGAGCATCATTCACCTAGCCTGACCCAGGCTACGAGAGCATCATTCAGCCAGCCTGAGCCAGGCTACTAGAGCATCATTCACCTAACCTGAGCCAGGCTACTAGAGCATCATTCACCTAGCCTGAGCCAGGCTACGAGAGCATCATTCACCTAGCCTGAGCCAGGCTACTAGAGCATCATTCACCTAGCCTGAGCCAGGCTACGAGAGCATCATTACACCTAGCCTGAGCCAGGCTACGAGAGCATCATTCACCTACCTGAGCCAGGCTACTAGAGCATCATTCACCCTAGCCTGAGCCAGGCTACGAGAGCATCATTCACCTAGCCTGACCCCGGCTACGGAGCATCATTCACCCTAGCCTGAGCCAGGCTACGAGAGCATCATTCACCTAGCCTGAGCCCGGCTTTCGAGACCATCATTCACCTAGCCTGAGCCAGGCTAACTAGAGCATCATTCACCTAGCCGACCCAGGCTACGAGAGCATCATTCACCTAGCCTGACCCAGGCTACGAGAGCATCATTCAGCCAGCCTGACCCAGGCTACTAGAGCATCATTCACCTAGCCTGAGCCAGGCTACTAGAGCATCATTCACCTAGCCTGAGCCAGACTACGAGAGCATCATTCACCTGGCCTGACCCAGACTACGAGAGCATCATTCACCTAGCCTGACCCAGGCTACTAGAGCATCATTCACCTAGCCTGAGCCAGGCTACGAGAGCATCATTCACCTAGCCTGAGCCAGGCTACCAGAGCATCATTCACCTAGCCTGACCCAGGCTACGAGAGCATCATTCAGCCAGCCTGACCCAGGCTACTAGAGCATCATTCACCTAGCCTGAGCCAGGCTACGAGAGCATCATTCACCTAGCCTGACCCAGGCTACGAGAGCATCATTCAGCCAGCCTGACCCAGGCTACTAGAGCATCATTCACCAAGCCTGAGCAGGCTACGAGAGCTCATTCACCTAGCCTGACCCAGGCTACGAGAGCATCATTCACCTAGCCTGAGCCAGGCTACGAGAGCATCATTCACCTAGCCTGAGCCAGGCTACTAGAGCATCATTCACCTAGCCTGAGCCAGGCTACTAGAGGGATCATTCACCTAGCCTGACCCAGGCTACGAGAGCGATCATTCAGCCAGCCTGACCCAGGCTACTAGAGCATCATTCACCTAGCCTGAGCCAGGCTACTAGAGCATCATTCACCTAGCCTGAGCCAGACTACTAGAGCATCATTCACCTAGCCTGACCAGGCTTACGAGAGCATCATTCAGCCAGCCTGACCCAGGCTACTAGAGCATCATTCACCTAGCCTGAGCCAGGCTACTAGAGCATCATTCAGCCAGCCTGACCCAGGCTACTAGAGCATCATTCACCTAGCCTGAGCCAGGCTACGAGAGCATCATTCAGCCAGCCCGACCCAGGCATACTAGAGCATCATTCAACCTAGCCTGAGCCAGGCTACGTAGAGCATCATTCACCTAGCCTGACCCAGGCTACGAGAGCATCATTCAGCCAGCCTGAGCCAGCTACTAGAGCATCATCACCTAACCTGAGCCAGGCTACTAGAAGCATCATTCACCTAGCCTGAGCCAGGCTACGAGAGCATCATTCACCTAGCCTGAGCCAGGCTACTAGAGCATCATTCACCTAGCCTGAGCCAGGCTACGAGAGCATCATTCACCTAGCCTGAGCCAGGCTAAAGAGAGCATCATTCACCTAGCCTGAGCCAGGCTACTAGAGCAAACATTCACCTAGCCTGAGCCAGGCTACGAGAGCATCATTCACCTAGCCTGACCCAGGCTACGAGAGCATCATTCACCTAGCCTGAGCCAGGCTACGAGAGCATCATTCACCTAGCCTGAGCCAGGCTACGAGACCATCATTCACCTAGCCTGAGCCAGGCTACTAGAGCATCATTCACCTAGCCTGACCCAGGCTACGAGAGCATCATTCACCTAGCCTGACCCAGGCTACGAGAGCATCATTCAGCCAGCCTGACCCAGGCTACTAGAGCATCATTCACCTAGCCTGAGCCAGGCTAAATAGAGCATCATTCACCTAGGCCTGAGCCAGACTACGAGAGCATCATTCACCTGGCCTGACCCAGACTACGAGAGCATCATTCACCTAGCCTGACCCAGGCTACTAGAGCATCATTTCACCTAGCCTGAGCCAGGCTACGAGAGCATCATTCACCTAGCCTGAGCCAGGCTACCAGAGCATCATTCACCTAGCCTGACCCAGGCTACGAGAGCATCATTCAGCCAGCCTGACCCAGGCTACTAGAGCATTTATTCACCTAGCCTGAGCCAGGCTACGAGAGCATCATTCACCTAGCCTGACCCAGGCTACGAGAGCATCATTCAGCCAGCCTGACCCAGGCTACTAGAGCATCATTCACCAAGCCTGAGCCAGGCTACGAGAGCATCATTCACCTAGCCTGACCCAGGCTACGAGAGCATCATTCACCTAGCCTGAGCCAGGCTACGAGAGCATCATTCACCTAAACCTGAGCCAGGCTACTAGAGCATACATTCACCTAGCCTGAGCCAGGCTACTAGAAACATCATTCACCTAGCCTGACCCAGGCTACGAGAGCATCATTCAGCCAGCCTGACCCAGGCTACTAGAGCATCATTCACCTAGCCTGAGCCAGGCTACTAGAGCATCATTCACCTAGCCTGAGCCAGACTACTAGAGCATCATTCAGCCAGCCTGACCCAGGCTACAGAGCATCATTCACCTAGCCTGACCCAGGCTACTAGAGCATCATTCACCAGCCTGACCAGGCTACTAGAGCATCATTCATCTAGCCTGAGCCAGGCTACTAGAGCATCATTCACCTAGCCTGACCCAGGCTACTAGAGCATCATTCAGCCAGCCTGAACCAGGCTACTAGAGCATCATTCATCTAGCCTGAGCCAGGCTACTAGAGCATCATTCACCTAGCCTGACCAGGCTACAGAGCATCATTCACCAGCCTGACCAGGCTACGAGAGCATCATTCACCTAGCCTGAGCCAGGCTACGAGAGCATCATTCACCTAGCCTGAGCCAGGCTACGAGAGCATCATTCACCTAGCCTGAGCCAGGCTACGAGAGCATCATTCAGTCTGTTCATATTGTAAGTCGCTCGTTAAATGTGCTTATTCAGGTTCATGTTATGGAGCCAGGTGGAGAGCTGCTCAGGCTTCTAACTGCATTCCTATGACATTTCAGTTCATTATTTAACTGCTTCCTCATAATATTTCCGCTGGGACATAGAGAGACGAAGGTTATATCCATTTTCATTGGTGTCCCGTAGCTAGGTTGGTAGCGCAGTTAGCTCACACACTGAGGTCCGTGGTTCGATCTCCGGTACGGGTGTAAACATTAGGACGTGTTTCCTTAAGACACCTGCTGTCCCTGTTCACCTATCAGTAAAATAGGCACCTGGGTGTTAGTGGACTGGTGTGATTCGCATCCTGGGGACAAAAATGTGTGCCCGAAATACTGTATATATAGTAGTATGTCATTGATGTCAGCTAGGCCTGTATACCTTGTACATGTACTTGTAGGAATAATTCATCGTGAGGTTGTTAATAAACGCTGTGCAATTAATTCTTTCCTGTCCCGTAAATCATTCTTGAGTGTGGACAAGGTTGCGCCTCCACACCTTCCCTGGATACCAGCCTGTCTGGTGCCACACTCAACATTATGGTTGGTGCCAGTCTGGATAAGCGGCCCTAGTGACCCCAGCGTCAGCTGCCATGGTCGGTGCCAATCTGAGCAGCAGTCCTGGTGACCCTCACCACCTGCTGCTTGCTGGAGGAGCGACCGTGGACGCCACCTGCCGTGCGTCCAGCTGTCGTCAGGGAAACTGAGCTAATATAAAAATCAAGGCCAAGGAAGCCATGTGTGGGTGAAGGAACACAGCTGCTCTCACCCATCCGCTCGAGACCCCTCCCCCACCCGCCCCTTCACACACACACACACACCTTGGTTCATGTGGTCACCTATTTGAAGCTGCAGAGGTTGAGTTTAATCTCCTGGCCCTGCCTCTAGACTACTCAGGAACAGCTGCACTCTCTTCCTGTCTCATGTGCCATAACATTTTTAAAACTGTTTATGAACTTCATACTTTTTCAATCTGATCCATCCACTTCCTGACCACTGAAGAAGTTCTTCCTGACATCCCTGTGACTCATTTGCAGTTCTGTTTTTCATTGTGCTGATGGTTGATCAGGCTCTGATCCACCAGGAGGCCTGGTCTCAGACCGGGCCGCGGGGGCGTTGACCCCCGGAACTCTCTCCAGGTCTCCAGGTAAACTGATTTCGCAAAGGCCTTTTAATGAATCTTTAACTTTTTAAAGAATAAAACCCAGAGAGCGATAGTAAACAGTGAATTCAGAGGCGTCCACAGTGAAAAGTTGTGTTTCTCAAGACACGGTACTTGCTCCACTTCTGTTTCTCGTTATATCCAACATATGTGTAGCACCATAACAACTTTCGCTGACTTACGCCAGCATCTCTATGAGAGTGACGTCCGTCCAAGATGCGGTGAATCTTCAAGCTGATTTATAAATCAAGTCCTCCAGTGGACCTCAGACAACAATATGATGTTCATTGAGGACAGATTTCAGTTGCTCCTCTAAGGAAGAATGGAGCATATAAAGACTTAAATGGAGTACAGTACAGCGACAGTACCATATGCGAGACTTGGGAATAATGATGTCTGAAGGCCTCGTGTTCAAGGATCACAACAGTGTTGCTATAGCTATAGCTATCTCTATGGGGAAGTCGAACAGAATTCTTCCTCCGTGTCGTGAAAGGCAACTAAAATGCCGGGATCAAGGGGATAGTAACCCCTTCTCCTGTATACAATACTAATATTAAAGAGAAACTTGTGTTTTTCTTTTTGGGCCACCCCGCCTTGGTGGGATACGGCCGGTATATATATATATATATATTATATATATATATATATATATATATATATATATATATATATATATATATATATATATATATATATATATATATATATATATATATATTATATATATATATATATATATATATATATATTATATATATATATATATATATATATATATATATATATATATATAATATATATATATATATATTATATCATAATAAAACACTTGAAATATATAAATATATCAACAACCTTCTGAAAGTAGAAATTCCAATGCGCTTTGGTGTAGTCACGATCTTGAATTCTCTTTTTCAGAGTGGTTGTTTTGCATATTCTGAAATCACCTGTTTACTGTGATCTTATTGCATTATATATATATATATATATATATATATATATATATATATATATATATATATATTATATATATATATATGTCGTGCCGAATATGTAGAACTGGTCAGTTAGCAAGAACTCATTTAAAATTAAGTCTTTTTTAAATTTTTCTCTTATACGTTCAAAGATATATTTTTTTCATTAATGTTAATGTAAAAATTTTAATTTTGCTCCAAAAGAATCTTAGAAAACTTACCTAACCTTATTATAACAAGAACAATTTATTTTAGCCTAACCCAACTAAATATAATTTAGATTTGTTTACAATAATTTAATACTAAACAAACACAGTGAAATATATTTTTTTCGTTAGGCTCAGAATGATTTTGGCGAAATTATTGCATACACAAATTTTCGCTTGTCTTGTATGGCAAGATGAGCGTTGCTATTTAAGCCAAGATCGCAAGTTCTACCTATTCGGTACGACATATATATATATATATATATATATATTATATATATATATATATATATATATATATATATATATAATATATATATATATATATATATATATATATATATATATATATATATATATATATATATATATATATATATAATATATATATCATATACCAAACTGCAGCAGGTCAGGACTCGACCCTACGAACCTTATACCGCCTCCAGAGACAGCACAATGTACGCATCACCTTACCACTTGAGCCAGCGATCCTACAAGAATCACGCATGCAGCTGAGCTACATGTTTTTCTCGTGATCCGAGGACACTCGTGGCAGTAGTATCTCGTGGATTAATTTCAGCCTCCTCCTGTTTGAATACCCACCTCAACTAGCAATCTATATAGCAATGAAATCACGAAACAAGTGATTTTAATCCTCGAGATACTACTGCCACGAGTGTCCTCGGATCACGAGAAAAGCATGTAGCTCAGCTGTATGCGTGATTCTTGTAGGATCGCTGGCTCAAGTGGTAAGGTGATGCGTACATTGTGCTGTCTCTGGAGGCGGTATAAGGTTCGTAGGGTCGAGTCCTGACCTGCTGCAGTTTGGTAAATATATATATATATATATATATATATATATATATATATATATATATATATATATATATATATATATATATATATATATATATATATAGTGTGTGTGTGTGCGCGCGCGCGCGCGTAGTATAACAAACACTGCTGACAGTCCACATTAAAGATGAGGTTTCTTGTACTGACCATTTGTTTATTATCTCAATTAATGCTGACAAATTTGATTATTTCCCAGAATTACCCGAAGTGGAACATTAATTAAATGCTCCACGTGCTGAATGTTCAAGTGACGAAGGGCCGGATGTGCGCCTCTGAGCAACACCTGCATTGAAAATCATTCATGGAACATTTGGCGTCTTCAAGTAGGAGTTGGGTGAGCCGGGAACCACGTGTGGGCCAGCTGGCGCCCACGTCCACACGTCTTGCTACACCCCACCTCATTGGTCCGCTCAGTTACCGCCCCCACCATGACATCATACCTTATTACGGCCGCGCTCATTGGTCCTTTCAGTCACCACCCCCACCACCCTGACGTCCGTGGGAAAGTGACGCTGATTGGTCAATCAACAGACCATAAACAAACGTTTGAGACGAAAACATTTTCATTGCAATTCGCGTAATTTTCTATTTTCGATCACCGGAAAGACTACGCTAACCAAAATGTTCATTAACATCGTTCTTCTACTATGGCAGATAAATAAAACAGTGTTATGCTACAGAATGTGCGCAGAAGAGTCATCTTGCATTAGAAACCTGAAAAACACACGTCTTTTGAACACTTATTTAGAGAAGTGTTTGTGTGTGTGTGTGTGTGTGTGTGTGTGTGTGTGTGTGTGTGTGTGTGTGTGTGTGTGAACCACACCTCTGGTACTGGAGTGTTGTCAGTGTCATAAGAGAGGTAGCAGTGTTGGGAGTCGAACCTACGTCGTGGACAGCTGAGCCTGGTAGCCACGTGCTCTCCTCCACGCTCTTAAAGTCAACACAAGCGGAGGGAGGAGTCAGTTGTGACCAGGAGAGGGAATAGTGAGGACGTAGTCGCTCCAGCAGGAGGCCCCTGAGCTCACTCACTCGGGTTTCGTGCTCACTCAGTGACAGTCATCAAGTAACTAGTACGTTAGTACTTACAAGGCGCTCCTACCTTTACAAAGTATCACTTAGTTGTTGTAAGCTATCACTGTGGCGTACCAGGGCAATATCGTGGCCCACCGGGACAATATCGTGGCATACCAGGACAATATCGTGGCCCACCGGGACAATATCGTGGCGTACCAGGACAATATCGTGGCCCACCGGGACAATATCGTGGCGTACCAGGACAATATCGTGGCCCACCGGGACAATATCGTGGCATACCAGGACAATATCGTGGCCCACCGGGACAATATCGTGGCGTACCAGGACAATATCGGGGCCTATCAGGACAATATCGTGGCCCACCAGGAGAATATCGTGGCGTGCCAGGACAACACTGTGGCGTACCAGGACAATATTGTGGAGTTTCAAGACAACACACTAGCTTATCAAACAAACACTGTGGCGTACCAGGACATAAGTCTGGCGTGCCAGGACAACAGAGTGGCGCGCCAGGACAACAGAGTGGCGTGCCAGGACAGCAGAGTGGCGTGCCAGGACAGCAGTTTGGCGCGCCGTACGAACAGTGTGTCGTACCAGGACAGCAGTGTTCCCTATCAGGACAACAGTGTGTCGTACCAGGACAACATGATGGGAACGCCTCACGACGACGTGGGTGCTGTGGGTGGCTTGGGTGGCGTGAGTGGTGTGGGGGAAGGGGGCGGCGGGGCGAGTGAGAGGGGCCGCCGCCCCCAGCGCCACCCCCCCAGCGCTGAGGTGGAAGCTGAGATGAGACTGTACTTGGACAAGCTGAGAGAGATCGTCCCGCACATCCCTAAGAACCGCAAGGTGACTAGACTTGAGCTAATTCAACACGTCATCGACTACATCTGCGACCTCCAGCACGCTCTCGAGGACCACCCTGGCCTCAAGGACGACCCCGCCGCTGCCAGGTTCCTCACCCCACCCACCTCCCCGCACCACCTGCACCACCTGGCAGGTGCACACCACCACCCCCTGCCCAGCCCTGCCTCACCTCACCACCTCTCACCTCTCTCTGCCCTGGCTGCCACCAGACAACCTCTGGGGGTGATATCACTACTAACATACTACAAACTGCAGCGTGATGCATCTCCTTCTCCTCTCTCTCTTCCTCTCTCCCTCTCTCCTCTCCTCTCTCTCTCTCCTCTCTCTCTCTCTCTCTCTCTCTCTCTCTATTATGCAATAGGAAGTAACAAAGTAGTCAGGCGTATTCATGTACTATGCCTCACAGAAATAAATATAATACTGTTGCACTATGTGCCCTGGTGACATCTGTGTGGCAATGTGTGGTACTATGTGGCATGATAATAGTGTGCAGTGCGCAGGCCAACACTGTGTTCGATCTGCAGTCATGATCTGTCATCTTATGTGAGCATGCCCCTCCCACCATCCCCTCACACCTCAACATAACACATTTACCTCCCCTCACACCAACACCCCTCACCTGGTACACCTCCACACTTCACCTCATTCCTAACACTCACGCTCACCAGCCACACCCCTCATCCATCATCACCCTCATCACACTCACACCCCTCACACCCCCACCCCCTCACACACCTCACCACCCTCACACACTTCACCCTCACACCTCACCACACACCTCACCCCTCACACACCTCACCCCTCACACACCTCACCCCTCACACACCTCACCCCTCACACACCTCACCCCCTCACACACCTAACCCCCTCACACAACCTCACCCCTCACACACCATAACCTACCCCTCTTTCACCATACACTTCATCCCTCACACACTCACCCCTCACCACCTCCCCCTCACACACCTCACCCCCCTCACACACCTAACCCCCCTCACACACCTCACCCCGTCACACACCATAAACCTAACCCCTCTTTCACCATACACTTCATCCCTCACACACCACAAGCCTTCTTTAAGGGTGAGATGAAACGCTCTTGATCTAAAGAACTGGAGTTAAACTTGATCTAACTTTTCTACCACCAATTCCACGACATACATACTGTATCGAGCATACGGGTTTACCGTGAAGTATCTGAGGGTGAGGAATGTGTGTGTGTGGGAGGAGGTGTGTGTGTGTGTGTGTCGTGTGGGGTTCGGTAGGAGATTGATGGATAAGGTAAACTCACTTGTTGGATGGTAACGCTATATTGTCAGACTGTGGTAATGGGAGATGGAGCCCAGCCTGCCGTGTTCTGCCTTCTTTTATGCCTATGCGTCGAGTGAGAAGGAGGCAGCTCGTCTCACTGACTCATGCTGTATCCCGTGACGTCATACAGTCACAGGCCTAGGGAGCTTCGTGTGGGGTTCGGTAGGAGATTGATGGATAAGGTAAACTCATTTGTTGGATGGTAACGCTATATTGTCAGACTGTGGTAATGGGAGATGGAGCCCAGCCTGCCGTGTTCTGCCTTCTTCTATGCCTATGCGTCGAGTGAGAAGGAGGCATCTCGTCTCACTGACTCATGCTGTATCCCGTGACGTCATACAGTCACAGGCCTAGGGAGCTTCTATATAAAGCACATGGATGGTACTATGATACTCAACTAATCTATACATACAACACATGTAAAGGAGGATCAGCAACTATGCTGACATGTGTGTGGGAGGAGGAGGTGTGTGTGTATGTGTGTGTGTGTGGGAGGGGAAGGTGTGTATGTGTGTGGGAGGAGGTGTGTGTGTGTGTGGGAGGGGGAAGTGTGTATGTGTGTGGGACGAGGAGGTGTGTGTGTGGGAGGGGCAGGAGTGTGTGTGTGTGTGGGAGGGGGAGGTATGTATGTGTGTGAGAGGGGGAGGTGTATGTGTGTGGGAGGGGGAGGTATGTATGTGGGGTGCGTGTATGTGTGTGTGTTAGTTAGCGGTTGTCAAAGACACCTGTCGTTAGACACTTGGCTTGTTTTGGGTGCGTGTGTTAATTACCAGTTCTCAAAGGTACCTTGTCGTACCTGTTCTTAATACTGTGTATGGCGTCTGCCTTCGTCATTCCACACAGGTGGCAGCAAAGCACTCGCAACAAAACTGTGGACTAATGGCTCTGTCTCTCTCTTCATACATTATCAAAATCTTTTAGAGGGTCTGAAGAAGCAAGTTTTCCAATCAAATGGACTGACAACAGTTGCACAAGCCAGGGTAGCATGGGTTTAGAGCAGGTCGCTCCTTCCTGTCAACATTGCTTGACCATTATGACATGGATACGAGATTGGTATACAGTACCGACAGCATTACCTTATATTTTGTATATAATTCTACTGTCTTCCAGTTATGTCCTTGAATTTGTATTGATAAAGCCACTGGATGGCGAAACGTCTACAGTAAAGATATCCAGATGTTGTACATGTCTAATTTTCATCATATGGACATATTGAAAGACAAATGTAGTGTACGTATACTTTGCTAAAGCCTTCAGCAAGTGAGGTCATAGTGAGACTGTACTGTAGTGGGTTCGCCGGTCTTGTCCCGGTCCGGGTCTTTTCTAGATGGTGACCCGGCGAATAGTGAGACAGCTCACAAAATGCTTGTTAAAGGAATAACTCGAAAAGTGGCAGATGGCTATTTAATTTCTTAACAAATAAAACCCAAAAAGTAGTGGTAAACAGAGTGAAGTCGGGATCTGCCACAGTAAAAATCTCAGCGCGGTATTCACCGCTGTTCTCTGTCTCATTGTTATTTTCGACATAGGCAGAGGCAGACGATACCAAAACCTGTTTGACAGCAGTATCCATCGAGGACGTACCTTTAAACTGATATAAATCAAGTCTTCCAGTGGGTCACTGACAACAATATCTATTATTCTGCTACAGTAAAATTGAGGAACGAAAAAAAAATTAAACGAAAGAGATCTCTGAGTGATAATGTCTGACCATCTCACGCTGAAGGATCGCAACAATGTTACTCTTGCAGTGGCAAGGAAAATGATTGTGTGGATAACTAAAACATTCAGAACAAGAAATACCGAGCCAGTGATTATTTTTTTCAGGTCACTTGTTCTCTCTAAACCAGAATATTTTTGTATACTACCCATTCCCTTCAAGGCAGGAGAAACTACAGAACTGGTAAACATTAAGAGAACCTTCACTACACAAGTAACCCGCACGTAGGAGACTGGAACTTATGACGACTTTCACTGCTCGTACAAATTTAGTCTAGAAGCTGAAGTACTGAAGACGCCTGAACTCCTTTAGAAAGTATGCGAGAAAGGTACATTAAAATTTACATTTGTAAAATTCCGAAGGGGTTCTGGCCTACACCTGCACACTGAAATCCCTCCCTATGAAAGCAAAAGCTTGGCAGCTGGTGCTGCCTTCTGTATAATTACCAACAGCTCGCTGGCCATCTTCAAGAAGGAACTTCACAAATTCCTTATGTCAGTTCTTGATAAATCAGGCGTATGTTGGACTGCAGGCGGCTGGCACCAAGAGCCTGATCGATCAGGTCAACAATCGGGAGGCCTGGTCCGGGACCAGACCGCAGGGGCGGTGACCCCCAGAAGCGCCTAGAGATAACCACTTCTTCGTCAAGGTCATTTCATTTCCCTGACCACCCTCCAGGTATACCCTCAAGATGAAGACGATCTTCCAGACATCTCTAACACCATCTGTGTCCCTAACTTCCAACTGATCCTCTCAGTACCTTCTTTCTGCCTTTCAAACAGCCTATGTCTGTTCTACCTTATCAATTCCTCCGAGTATTTTTTATGGTGTTATCATGTCTTCCCTGGTTATTGTGTCTTTTAATGTCATCAAGTTCAGTTTCCTTAGCCTCTTCTCATACCCCATACCCTTAGCTCTGGAACTAACCTGGAACTAACTACACTTTTTATAGTATCTTAACGTATTTTATCAGGTGTGGGTTCCATGCTGGTGCTGTGTACCCCAACATTGGCCTGGCACTTATTGTATAACGGGCTATGAATGACTAAGATTCCTGAAGGCTACTATTCAATTTGCCAGGCGAACATTGATTACAAAGGTCATTCATTTATTGCAAGTCTGGCGATACAGTTGGCACTAATACTCGCTCCTAGGTCTTCCTGGTCTGCAGTCACTGTCCCCCGAGTCTATACTCCGTCTCTGGTGGTCTGTCCCTTTCTCCAATCTTCATCACCTTGCATTTGCTGGGGTTAAATTCAAGTAACCAATTAACCTGACCATGTTTGTGTCTGTCCACATCTAATTGTAGCACTCCCTGTACGCTGTCTATTTCTGTTCTCATTAATTGTACATCAACAACAGAGATACATCGGTGTGTATATGTGTGTGTGTGTACTCACCTAATTGTAGTTGCAGGGGTCAATACTAAGCTCCTGGCCCCGCCTCTTCACTGAACGTTACTAGGTGTGTGTGTGTGTGTGTGTGTGTGTGTGTGTGTGTGTGTGTGTGTGTGTGTGTGTGTGTGTGTGAGACAGTACTGACGTGAGCTACCTATAACAGCTGCCGTGGAGGTGGGTGTTATAACATTCCTCACATGTTTGTTCAATACTGCTGTTGCTGCTGTTTTTGCGCCTGCCTCTCTCCTGTTGCTGCTGCTTCTGCGCCTGACTGCTTTTGCTGTTGCTCATGCGCCAGTTTCACTTCTGCTGCTGTTGCTATTGTTGTTGCTGCTACTGCTGTTATTCTTGTTGCTGCAGCTGTTGCTTCTGCTCCTGCTGTTGTTACTACTGCTCTGATTGCAGCTGTTGCTCTGGTGGCGCTGGTGCTGCTGTTGCTGCTGCTGGTGGTTCTGGTGCTGTTGTTGTTGGTACAGCTGCTGGTTTTGATGCTGCTGCTGGTGGTTCTGATGCTGTTGTTGTTGGTACAGCTGCTGGTTCTGGTGCTGCTGCTGGTGGTTCTGATGCTGTTGTTGTTGGTACAGCTGCTGGTTCTGGTGCTGCTGCTGGTGGTTCTGATGCTGTTGTTGTTGGTACAGCTGCTGGTTTCTGGTGTGCTGCTGGTGGTTCTGATGCTGTTGTTGTTGGTACAGCTGCTGGTTCTGGTGCTGCTGCTGGTGGTTCTGATGCTGTTGTTGTTGGTACAGCTGCTGGTTCTGGTGCTGCTGCTGGTGTGCTGTTGCTGTTGTTGTTGGTACAGCTGCTGGTTGTGTGCTGTGCTGGTGGTTC